TTTATTCACAAAATATAAGAATAATTGACTTTTCAAGCAAAACCGTTGCATTCCCATACAAACCTTTATAAATTCAAACCGTTGTAACACAACATCTCCATATGCTGCAAGGCGAGAGTCATGTTTCGCGTGGTCAAATTCGGTCGTTATGTAATAGTACATGCCTTATGTCACGTTAGCCTGAACGTTCGCATAAAAAGGAAAAAAAAAGGATAACATTGAGAGCTTGGGCCGCCTATGGTGAAGACAGCTCAATGCCGGCATCAACCCCAACTTCTTCGCGCCGTACATCTTCGTCAGCCGAGAACAAGAATGCTCAGGATAGATAAGGTAAAGAGGAGGAAAAGCTATTAGTTGAACTGTGGGCTGAAAAGCACGATCAGTTAGAAAGTCGAGAGTCAAGGAAAACATGGGCTTGGATCGCCGAGAAGATTTCGAAAACGCTCGGAACCAACAAGACGGCCGACAAATGCATTCGGAAAATGAAGTGTATCAGAACGATACAAGAATGCAAAAGATTGGAACAATCTCACAGCATGGCATGGTGTTTGTTCACAGATTTAGTTCTCAAGTGCGACTGTAGCTTTCCGGACAAATTTTTTGTCGCTGGCCGATTTCAAGTCAGATTTGTCCAGAACAAATCTGAAATTGCCCTCCAGTGCGACTTGGCCCTTACCAAACAATAACGGCGAGTTCAATTTGACTACAAGCACAATATTTTAGGGATTCTTTTTTTAGTTTTGTTTTTCCTATTTTACCGACTTTGGCACGACAATAAGTCGCTAAAAGCAGGAAGATAAAGCCACACGGAATGGAATTTTATAAAGATGTTCCTCCAGCGAGCGATCAATGATTTCTTTTTGCTAAATAAATATAGTAGAATGAACGGGCTATGAAACTACTGAATTTCAAAGAAACCGACAGAATATTAATTTAAAGTCGTCACTTGGATATCAAAATTTTTCCCTAGCTGCGGCTGACTTTCTCAGTCATGGGGAAAAGGATCATTTCCAAAATTCATATTAGTCATTCGGAAACCTTAACCAGCTGGACCATTTTAAAAGCCGTATCTGAACCTGTCATTGGTAAACAACTATTTCACGGTTTTGTGCACGGCTTATGCCGAAAAAGAGAGAGAGAGAAAAAATAATACAACAGAGAACTTTGTCGAGTTTCATAACCATTCCCCTCTATTAACTATGTTCACATGGTTGATTTTATACTCGGCGTTCTTTCCAAACAAGAAAGCAGAATCGGTTAGAGAACAACATTATTCATAACTTAGAATGAAGTCTTTCAGTTGAGTGTTATGATGGTGTGCATTGAATAGCCTGTCATCACCTTGCATAGTTAGCTCTATACTTAGCTCTCATGTTTACTTTTATTATAGCTAATATCCATAGCATTAGCATATTTTACATTATAATAAATTTTGCATATAACGCGCGCTCTGATTGGCTGATCATGAAACAGCGTGCTTTATCAGGAAAGAGATGGACGGGTTGATGACGGTGAGCTGACGCTAAAATTTTGACCCAAATCACCTTATTATGTATGGCTTATTGACCAAGTGTGAGGTCAAGATGGCAGGATATTGGCCAAGTTCTTTTTTTGCGTGTTTATGGACCGAGACGGGAGTCGAGGTCCATAAACTCGCAAAAAACAGAACGAGGCCAATATCCAGCCATCTTGACCAAACAAGGATTTATTATATGGCTATAGGGGAAATTTTTCTTGCGGGACACGGCGGGTAGTCCCGGATGGGCAAGATAGCTCCATTTTACCCGCTCGGGTAGCTAATCACAGCGCAGGATTTGATTCATCTTGCCCGCTCACGGAGCTAGCCATATAATAAAGGAAATTAACGCGACTTAAATTAATGCGAATTGAAGGTAAATTTGCTCCCTAATAAAGGAAATTAACGCGAGAGAAGGGGCAAAATTTCAAAATGAAGCCGACAGCGAACACGAACAAAATCCAGTTGAAGTACAGTAAACGATTTAGTAATGTGAAATATTGATGTGAAATGCAACGGTGCGCGAATAAAATTTATTGTTTGGCCGTGTCAAGAATGTCTGGAGTGTGTCACAGATTTGGGAAAAAACAATGGTAATTAACGTCGCGGAAATTAACGCGTAACTTAATCAACAGCGCGGAAATTAACATTAACATAAATTAACGCGACTTAAATGAACGCGAATTTTTGAAATTCGCATTAATTTCATGAAGCGTTTTTCTATAAAAAGGTAAATATTCCCCTGTGACTCAGACAAACGCGATGGAAAAGAGCTATTTGTCTGCGGTAAATATGGCTACACGGAGACCATTGTTAACAACAGTAATTGCACTAAGCTAACAGGTTTTGCTAGATTCCAGCAAAACACGTAGCGAAAGAAACAATTCTCAACCTAGGGAATGCGGCTTCGATAAAAGACATTGTACCTGACATTATACTAGTTACGAAGGCAGAGATTACGCTTGAGAAGTAAAACAACGACAGAAAACACCAATTGCGCTGTCTCTGAGAAGCTATATTTTTGTAAAAATGCTCTGACAACACTTACATGCAGTGTAGTAACGCTCGTTTGCTTACAAGCGGTCTCCGGTCTCCTCAGCGAAGTGAATCACAAGAATTTCGTATCAACGCTCATCCGACGACTGATCAGTTGAAAGCTTGCCATGTGATGTTCTCTCCTGTACGTACTCGGTGTGGAACCAGTGGGAGCTGTCTAGCCTTCCAACTTTGACACTACTGAGTTCGGGAACATGTTCTTGCTGCAATCGGTTGGAAATCGTAAATAACTGTAGCTCATTTCAAATACAACTCAGTATTTTGCATTTTCATCCGCAAGCTTTGAACTCCTTGTTTCGTAATTTCCATTGAACTAAGTGCAGGTTTTCATGAGCCACAACGCGGCCGGATTCCTCTGGACTAGAAACCTTTAGAACTTTGACGGGATCGTTCTTCTCTAGAAAACCACTCGAAACCGCGGAGTTAGCTCAGCGAAGTTCAGTTTGTGATTGTCAGCTGTTGTCTCGTTAGCCAGTCAAATTATTTGAACCATTCTAACGAGGATTGTGATTGGCTTATTTTAGCGTGCTTTATCAGAGAATAGATGCATGTTGACGCCACGTTTTCTCGTTTGGAAAATATAGATTGGTTTGAAAATGGAGCTGAATGCGTGGGAAAATTAATGGCTTCTTTATCATAAAACAAATAAAGAAGCCTCGACTGTGCTCTGTTCTGTTGTAAAGTACTTAGGAAGCGGTAGAGCACTCAAGGAGTAGGGAAAAACATTCGACTATGTCTCGTGTTTCCGCCTACACTTCTGTCGTGCTTTACTGCCATCTGCGGGCTTCAGTACAACAGAATAGATTACAGTCGAGTCTTCTTTATTTGATAATTTTCATCGCTTTCTATCTCTTTATCATACAGAATCCAAGAGATGGCAATGTCTGTTTTAAACACTACCAACCACACAAACTCACAAGGAACAGACGGTAAGATAATCAATGCTTCTGTTATCACGTTCTGTGTTCTTATTGGTGATTGATGCCTAGTTTAAATTTTATTTCAGATCGCCTGGCACACCTTATTTATATAGCGCTATTTACATCGATACCCCCTTGACCAAGCTAGAGGTCAAGATGACTGGATGTTTTCGAAGTTCGAGGCCAATATCCAGCCATCCTGACCGAACAAGCTTTGTCAATAAAGGATTTATTATATGGAAAAAGAACACTATTATCTTGTGGGACATAGCGGGTTATCCCGAGCGGCCAAGCGCTATCTTAGCACCATCTTGCCCGCTTGGGTAGCCAATCAACGCGCAAGATTCGGTTCATCTTACCCGCTCACGGAGCTAGCCATACAATAAAGCAAAATATCGCCTGCTGGTGATTCCATTATTTTTTAATTTCTCATTATTCTCTCAAAGCCGTATTTCAAACTAGAAACCAACACGAATAGGCCATTTCCGAAATACCTTAAGCCTCTTCCTCAAAGCGAATCTTGGTGCCCTCCTTTCATATGAAAATGGGATTTCATTCACATGCAAGTTTCACTGATTTTCATATGAATGGCCTCGCCTTGCTTAACAGAGAGGCTTAGGTCATAGCACTCATATAACAACAATCCCCTCATCAGCCCTCCTATAGCAACAAACCCCGAGTCAATTGAAAACATTGTTGGCCAGCACGAGTGTGAAATGATATCAAGTCATCCTCTCTCAATTTACAGGAACGTACTTCGATCAAAGCCAAAACTCAAGCATTCAACAGCCCACTACTGCTATCTCAACGAATGTAAAGGTTGGCATGACGTTAGCATATGCAGTCATTTTCATCGTTGCTTTGTCGGGCAACTCTCTTGGTTTGTTCGTGGCTTCAAAGAAATCTCTGTTCAACAGTGTCACAAACCTATTTATCGCCAACATGGCCGTTGCAGATCTGCTATTGACTGTCACAGCTATGCCCTTTAGTGTGACTTTCTTCTACCTTAGAGACTCTTGGTTTGGAGGAACACTGGGTACTATCACGTGCAAGGCCATGCACTACGCCATTCGCGTTTCCATAGCAGCGACCGTCCTAACAATGACGCTGATCTCATTCGACAGGTTTTGCGTTGTATTCTATCCCCTGAGGGGAAAGTTTTTCCGAAAACCGAGAATCGTGTCAGCAATAATTTGGGCTTTGTCTTTCATTTTAATGACCCCAACTCTTCTTTTCTATAAAGTTACAGTTATTCCGCGCGAGAATGCGTACGAACGCGTATGTCGGGGAGACGCTTGGCTCAGCAGTCACTCACGTAAGATCTTTCACATCTGCCTCTTCTGTATACTGTATGCGTTCCCTTTGATGGTAATGGCAGTCCTTTACGTCTTAATTTGCCGCAAGTTATGGCCTCGTAGGATCCCAGAAAACGTGTCAGGAAAAAGTCGAGCCGTTGTCGAAATGTCTAAACGCAAAGTTGTGCGACTGTTGATTGTCATAATCATTGAATTTGCGCTTTGCTGGTTCCCATCATATGTCAATCACTATTTTTTGTTCATTCAACCTGAACATGGGCATAAATTACTAGCGGAAGTTCAGTACGTGTTTTTTTGGTTAGCGCATGCAAACAGCGCCATAAATCCGTGTCTTTATATCCTGGTTTGCTTTACGCCGGCTCACAAATTTGCCGCGGTTTCAAGGAGCACGAGCTGATCACGTGCGAGTGGAAAGTTCATGTTGTAGTTTCACCAAGGAGTTAGTGAGTTTTACTCGCCCCAGTTTTGACCCACAGTAAGTGACACGTTTTCCTCCAATCGGAAAACGTATTCGAGTTGGGAGGTATAACAATTCATATTAATTCAAGCTGAGTAATTTTGTTGCTATAGCAACGTCCAATTTATTGTGTTTTTGAAGAACAAACTAAACATTGTGTGAAACAACTTCTAACCTTCTAAAGTCAGTGAGGGATACCTTCTTAAGTCTTCAGGTAAGAACTTTTTAAACAAGAAAGCCTGTTTATTATTATGAAACTAAATTAACTAGGGCAACCGTTAGAAATCAAAAGCTATTCTAAACGAAGAAAGAAGGTGTAGTAATCATCAAGCATATTGTTCCATCTTGATATATTGAGATGATATCAATTTAGTATCCAAGCGTTCAAAAGCCACATGTGCTTTCAACAGAAGAGTAATGGAGATCCGAAAGTGTTGCGCAGTACCAGGATAAAAAGCAAGAGAAATAGTTCAAGACTGCACATGCACCAAGAGGCCAAAAAATTGTGACCTCTCAAGCGAACACGATGCTAACGGCTAGCCGTTCGTTCGCCGTTCAAACGAGATGGGCCACCGTTCGAACGGCTCGAGCTACATCAGACATCGCGTATCAGTTCAGAAAGTATTGTCATCCCTTCGAACGGCTCGAGCTATCCGTTCAAAAAAATATTGTCATCCGTTCGAAAGGCTCGAGCTATCCCTTCCAAAACAATCGTCAACCGGCTTTTCGAACGGCTCGTTGCAATTCGTTCAAAAACACAAGACGTTATTCGTGCGAAAAAAAAAAAAAACATTAGCTGTTCGAGCTAGTGCAATCCGTTCCAAAAAATTATCCTGCCTTCTGCTTAGCTACTAAGCTGAAGTGTGTGACTAATGTTTTCGAGTGCAGCAAACTTTAAGTTAATCCGTTCGTTGGCTTTGTGTCAGAATTGATCACCAGACATAAAATAAAAAGTTTTCTTCGTGACAAAAAAATATCTCAATAATCTTGCTTCAGAGAAACAAATCGACCAAACAAATTAGGGAGAAATTATTTTTAGCGGAAGTCGATAGTCAAACTGCTTCCTTTCTCAAATATAAAGTACAATTTGGAAAGTCCTGCTACAAAGTCGAACTTTTCTCCAGGTACACTTCCTCTATCAATGAAGAGCAGGAAAACTACCTAAAAAGTAGTAGAGCTAAGGTTGTTGAAAACAAGGATTGAAACGTCAGCCCACCAAGTTAATTTTCTTAAAATTAAAAACAAGAAAATACGGAAATGTCAGCAATGTTCACTTCTTTTGACGATAGGTTAAAAATCGTTAAAAATAGCCTTTCTTAATAGTCAAAAAGCAAGCAACACGCCAGAGTTAAGTATTTATAACATTCAGACCGGGCTTTTCTGTTCTTTCTCTGAAACCGAAAAAGTGCAGTTATCTATGAAAGCGGATGTTACTGCAAGAAAGCCATTTTTTCATTAAAAACCAGACAGTGTGGAACTGACAGTTCTTTCATTAAAAACAGGAAAATTCAAATTTTGCAAACACACCGGTCGACATGTGGTTGCATGGTAACATCATGTTCCTCGACCAATCAAATTAAAGGCATCGAAAGTTTTATGCCAACCCTCCCGGACTCAATAGAGTTACTTAACAGGGAATCAAGAAAGCCATGGCCCATGACACTGACGTGAGTCATAACTGTCACAGTTTGCGACAAAATTCACACCCACAGCTCTTGACTGACGTAGTCCACTACATTAACTACACACTCGCCTTAGAAATTGAGAAGGATATCTTCTTATCTTCTTCAGTCTTAAGGTAAGAGCTTTTCAAACAAGAAAGCTTCTTTATTATCAAACTTAAACTAAGGGAAATGTTACGAATCAAAAGCTATTCTGAACGAAGAAAGATGATGTAGCTCAGTGTCCAAGCATATTGGTTTCATATACCGGAGATGATATCCGTTTAGTCTTCAAGCGCTCAAGTGCCAAGTGATTTTTGAACAGAGATCCGGTATTAAGAGCCAATTTCTCTAATTGGCGAAAAAGAGGCGGCAGCTGGGACATTTCCAAATACGGTGAGTTTCTTTTAGAAAATACCATATTCAAAGGTTCTGAAGCGCTTTAAATTTTGCGAAATCGAGGTAAGTTCGAAAATCCCAGTTTTAGCTCCCAGCCACAGCCGAAAATGGCGCAAAATCATGCATTTTCCTTTTGATTGTACAGATCAAGGCGGTGATATCTATAAATGTGCTTTGGGTAAATCATAGTGCATGTCTCGCTGTTTCTAAAGCATTAATTTGGTTTAAAAAAGCTGCAATTTTTTTAATAATATTTAAGGCCGATCCAAATGCCGTAATCGAAGCTTTTCAGCGAAAGGGCTAATTTGAAAACCATCAACAGCCCACTGGTACATTAAACTTGAAGTCGAAACTAACATTTTCTTACAGCAATCCTCTATATTCTGTCGTGTGAAAATATCTTCCGCAGCTTCGAGAGACATAATCGTAAACTGGTGGTACATTCGTTCGGTGTGAAACGAACACGGAAATTGCCCAGTGTCTTGCATCAAGAACGAAAACTGACTGCGAATGAAAACCTTTTTCTTTATTGTGAATGCTTCAAAATTGTTTTTTGTTATATTCCATTGAGACTGACAGCACCAATACAAAACCATCCATAAGTTGAGAGACCGAAAACGTAGTGCATACGTTAGTAGGTTCATTCCGAAGTTTGCACCAGTTGTATGTGTATTACATATGAAACAGGAAAATGTGGAAGTGTCAGTTATTTCATTTAAGACAGGATCACCCGTCAAAGTGCAGTTGCCATGGCAACATCAGCTTCCTTCCCCAAACAAATTGCAAACTTTTAAAGTTGGCGGGGGCGTCAATAGTGTCCCCTCTCACCCATCTCGATGTGAATAGGGGTTTCTCAACGGGATATTAAAAAAGCCTATTACAAGCGTGCAAGGTTGGTGGGGAGTCAAAAGTCCCCCCCTCCTCTTCCCCCTCCCTATTTTAATAGGGTTGCTCAACGGAAAATAAAGAAAGCCAATAAAAACATCTTTGTTCAAGACTTCAGATGTACTGAGAAGAAAATAAGTAAGGTTGTAAGGTCAGGTATACAAGTTCGATAGAATCTCATTATCATGAATAGTTTTTGTTGAGCGCGACTGAGTTAAGCACATAGTCAAATAGTTGTTGTTTACTCAAAATTGAACGCCAAATATTACGAAGTGTACATGTTAAATTATCATGTTTGATCGCCGAACGAAAGATCAAGTAAAAACACAAAGTCGACTGAGGCAGTGTGTCACAAAATTTGATGATTGATATAAGGACATTTCACGTCTTTTCTCTTATTCCAGTTGAACCATCTGTGCACGCCTGCGTCATTTCTGTGACGAACTACGAACTATGCTTTCCCGCGTTATTGTCAGTTATTGTCTAGTGTGTTTTATTAGTTATAAGTTATTCGTAATTTATAGTCAATATACGCGCGGCCGGCGATCACTATTCTAGCGTCGTAGGAACTTGGATAGTCGCTCGCAATATGCTCCGTTATTAAATAACCATTTATCAAGAAATTTCTCGTTATATGGTGTCAGGAGTGGTTTGATCAACAATGGCTTATCTTCAGTCGTTGTCTGCGCCTCATTGTCTCGATATTAATGACTCCAACGTCGCAGAGAAATGGAACGAATGGGGCGAAATGTGGCTACACTACAATGTAACGGTGAGGTCCACGTGGCTACGTTCCTCACGGCAATAGGTCCTGAAGCGAGAAAAGTCAGATATGGTTAGATTTAAAGGAGAAAGCGTGGAGCGACATTAAAAAGGCCATCACGCAAGCACCCGTCTTACGTTACTACAGCTTAAATGATGAGGTCACCCTCCAATGTGATGCTTCTGATGCAGCGTTAGGTGGAGGCGCTCTTCTTCAATTACAGCAGCCAGGAAGCTGTGCATCGAGAGCCCTTACCCAAACTGAAAATTGAGAAAGAGCTCCTCGCCATTGTGTTCGCTTGCGATAAATTTGACAAGTGTATTTTAGGCGTGATGTCGTCCAGGTGGAAAGAGACCAAAAGCCCCTGGAGGAGATTTTTAAAAAGAGTCTCTGTGACGCACGCACCTGTTTGACTGCAGCGAATGCTGCTCCGACTTCAGCGTTACAATCTCGAAGTTAGGTACAAGAAAGGCCCTCTCATTTATATCGCTGATACCCTGAGCCCCGCGTATCTCAATGAAACGGCGTCTTGTGAAGAAGTGAAGTCTCACTGCGTCACGACCGGAACAGATTAAAAAAAAAAAAATCCTCTCAAGATCAAGTCTGCAAATCTCTCAAGCGAGTCATGCTGGAAGTTTGGCCAGCCCTTCTTCCAGTTCAAACTGGAACAGTTTCGTAGAGAACTGATTGTCCAAAGGAGCTTGATTTTCCGTGGCTCTCATCTGTTTGCTTCCCAGTGCCCTGAGAAAAGAAATTATGTACCTGGCTCATTAATATTTAAGTCACATTGGCCTTGGTGGTTGCCTTCGTCGTCTGCGGGAATGCATGTTCTGGGCTGGGATGAGCTTACAAATGAAAGACTTTGTTAGTCAATGTGATGTTTGCCAGACTCACCACGACTCGCAAGTCAGGGAACCCATAATTCAGCACGATGTTTCACCACTTCCTTGGGCCAAGATAGCTGCTGACCTCTACTATTTCTTAGGCCGGGTCCTTCTAGTTGTGAGGGACAACTTTGCTAATTTCAGTCAGGTGGATTCTCTCTCGACGGAAAACTACAAAGCCCTGATCAGAAGTCCAATGGCCATGTAGCAGATACGGATCCGTAGTCACTGATAACGGACCTTGCTTTGCATTGTCAGAATTCGCAACATTGACCAGTCAGTGGAACTTTCAACATGTCACTTCGAGTCGTCGCTATCCCCAGAGCAATGGAAAGACCAAGAATGCGGTTCGCAACGTTAAACGTCTCTTCACGGAATGCTGAGCTGCGGGTGCCAGTGAGTTTTAAGGACTTCTTGATTGGCGGAATACTCCAAGCGAGGGGATGGACACGGTTCCAGCTCAATGGTTCTTTGGCCGTCGTTGCAAGACAGGATTAAAATAGGGTAAAACAGTCAGAATTGCGTAAATTGCAATTTAGAAGCACACAAACAGTGCAGTGGTCGATAAACCTCTTTCTTTTCATTTGCAATCTGTTTAAGGGAGGTGTTAGGAGGAATTGTAAGGTTTTTCATTGTTTCAAAGTTTAAAAAACACACCGGTTAAAATGCGACTACCATGCCAACATCATGCTTCTCGTCCAAATTACAAGCGTTAATTTAGTTTTCCACCTCCCAGGCTTAATAGGGTTACTCAGCAGGAATTCAAGAAAGCCAATGAAAACGCAAGACATTTTTGTCGAAATCAACCAATCAGCTTTCAAGCGTTCGAAATTTGATACCTTCCCAGTCTCAATGGGATTATTAAACAGGAAGTTAAGAAATGAAAACCTTCACGCTATTCACAGTTGTCGTCAAAATCTCCAACACCAAATATACCCACTGCTCTTGACCTAGTCCACTGCATTTACTAAACACTCGCTGGTTAAGTTATGTAACGTTATACAGTCAGAAAGATATCTTCTTTAGTCTTAATGTAAGAGCTTTTTCAAACAAGAAAACTTGTGTAAAATCAAACGATATGCTGAAAGAAGGTAAGAAAGATGGTGTAGTCATCATCGAGCATATTGTTCCGTATACTGAGATGATACCAGATTAGCGTCCAAGTGTTCAAGAGCCATATGTGTTTTGAACATTTAAGTAACAGAGATCGGAAAGTTTNAGAGACTTTGAAGTAATTAGTCATGAAACCCGCATTCATCACGCCACTTTCAACATTATTGTAAAGAATGGATATCCATTTTGTAATATTTGGACCAAAGTTGTATAATTCAATACACTAGTTCAATTAGTTTGCGTTTAATCAAAATTGTACGCCAGATGTCACGGACAGCAAATACATTGGGTGCCTGTGCTTAAATCCCATTCGCAGGCTTTTTAACAGGCATAAAATAAAATTAACTTCTTAGTTCATCGTGACTGGCATCCGATAAAATCAATAAGCACTTAATGACTGACCCCGCGGGAAACAGTCAGTTTTGTTTCCCCGAGACCCTCAATGTTCCCCAAGGGAAATGCTTTGTTCTACATCCCAACTCAAAAGTAGAAAATAATAATAATAATAATAAACTGCGAAGAAATGCTTTGCTTTACGCCGGCTCACAAATTTGCCGCGGTTTCAAGAAGCACGACCTGATCACGTGCGAGTCGAAAGTTCATGTTGTAGTTTCACTAAGGAGTTAGCGAGTTTTGCTCGCCCTAGTTTTGACCCACGGCAAGTGACACGTTTTCCTCCAATCGGAAAACGTAGTCGAGTTGGGAGGTATAACAATTCATATTAATTCAAGCTGAGTAATTTTGTTGCTATAGCAACGTCTAATTTATTGTGTTTTTGAATAACAAACTAAACATTGTGTGAAACAACTTCCCGCCATCGTGGATTTGTCATCTTGGATTTCATGATCTTTTCACGACGATAAAAATGCAACAAAATGGCCCAAAAGAATTAAAAACCGATAAATAAAGCTAAGGTTGTTACGAAAACGCTATAGCACAAAAATATTTTGTTAGAAAAAAATGAAACAAGAATATGTGGAAATGTCAGGACTTTTCCTTTCTCCTGATACAAGGTTTAAAATAATAGTGAATTTTAAACAGTCAAAAAGCAAACAACACGCCAGATTAAGGTATAGAGAGTATACACATGACGTCATGGCAGCCATATTGGTGTTCCAAAACAATGAAACGGCGGCCATGTTGGTGTACCAAACCAATCCTGTGGGAGTTCAACTCTTTTCGTATGTAAACACTTTCTTTTGTTCCAGTAAATTTGCATGGCTGCTGGACACGTGAGTGAATACGCTCAATAAAAACCTGTTCATACCGTCGGTCTTCTAGATGAAACTAAAAAGGGAAAGTTTTCTATGATAGTACAGGTTACTGCAAGTAAACTGTTCTTTCATCAAAAACTTGAAAAGGTGGAACTGTCAGTTCTTTCATTGTAAACAGGAAAATTCAAAGCTCAATAAAACCACCCGACACAGCAATCGAAATGCGGGTGCCATGGCAACCTCATGTTCCACGACCAATCAAATAACCATCGTTAAAAATTTGATACAAAGCCAAAGAATACGCAAGTCATATTTTTCAAAATTTCAACTACACTGACATTCACCTCTGTCGACTGATACCACTACACCTGCTAAACACTCGCTAGTGAATTTATAACCTTCTAAGGAAAGCCTGTTTAGTATTATGAAACTAAATTGACTGGGGCAACTGTTACAAATCAAAAGCTATTCTAAACGAAGAAAGACGGTGTAGTCATCATCATTCTGTGGGAGTTCAACTCTTTTCGTATGTAAACACTTTCTTTTGTTCCAGTAAATTTGCATGGCATGGTAAATTTGCACGTGAGCCGTTGCTAACGGCTAGCCGTTCGTAAGCCGTTCAAACGAGATGGGACACCGTTCGAATGGCTCGAGCTACATCAGACGTCTACATTATGTATCAGTTCAGAACATATTGTCATCCCTTCGAACGGCTCGAGCTATCCGTTTAAAAAAATATTGTCATCTGTTCGAAAGGCTCGAGCTATCCCTTCCAAAGCAATCGCCAACTTTTCGAACGGCTCGGTGCAATTCGTTCAAAAACACAAGACGTTATTCGTGCAAAAAAAAAAAAAAAAAAAAAAAAAAAAAAAAAAAAA